AAACCATACTTTAAACATATGGTTATCAGTGATGTCTGAGAAATACACAATCCTATTCCAAGGAGGTGTCCTCTCTATTCTAAGATGTTGTCTTTTCCTACTGCATGTTGCCTCATGAATGATAGAAAATTGTGTAAGCTTGGCCAATTAAATCACAAACTTAATCTAAGGGATGTGTCTGTGTGTGGTCTTGTCAACTACCATCCACCTAAAATATTGCAGCGACACACTTACTTATTAGGACCACTTACAGGTAGATTCAGAACACAGTTAAAACTTCCTCACTAAATTCAAGCAGCAACATCTGTGAAAAGTTACAATTTAATATTTTTAAAGTTGTTTGGGACAAAGTGTTAAAACTCTGTGTTTTCCATCACATAGAAGATTAAAATATGCTGGTGGGCTTTGCACAGATACGTGAACTTACATATTTTTACTCACTAGCATGCAAAAACAAAGACTACACAGAAGTATCTAAAGACTACAGAAGTATTTATTTGTACTTTTGGCCCAAACTATTTTAAAGATTTACCCTGCAAATGAGATGATGCCGAATGTCTCCTCTTAGGTTATACTAATGTTTTCCAGTTACTATAACTCTCTTAGAAAATGACCCTGCTGTTGTCAGAGTCATGAACAGTAAGATATTTTTAAAAGAAAAAGAAGACGGCACAATGAGATGAAAAGATATTTCCTGCTCATGGATTAGGATTATGTTAAGTGAAATAAATCAGGAGAAAGACCAACACCAGATGGTGTCACTTATATGTGGCATATAAAGAAAACAAACCACGGATCAGATAGAGCCAAACTCAAAACTAATTCTTGAATGAGGACCGTAGAAACAAGGCATTTAGAGGGGGAGAGGAGAGGGGGAAGGTGAGAACAATGTGGGGAATCAGTCCAAGGATCTATGGGTGCTTCAGTGGTTGAGAGCACTATGGAAACAACACCTGAAGAATGGAGATCTATAATTTCAAAATGTAAATGATGTAAACTATTACCTCAATAAATTTTTGAAAATAATTAAGTGCCTGATAAAGTTCAAATATACTGCTATTTCATTTATTTTTTTAATTAATTTATTTATTTATACAAGCACTGGGTACAGTCAGAAGCGCGGGAGGGTGAGAGAATTCACCAGAGCCAGAGCCGGGAGCAGAACAGGCAGAAGGACCGAAGTACACTGCTGAGGGGAGCAGTGAGTGTGCAGAGGTCTACGCACCATGTGGGACCCTCTCTGGTGGCGGGGGATCCAACCAGCTCTGCAAGAGGCTGCAGGTCGCTGTTCAGCGCTGCTCAGCGCTCAACCACTGTGCCACCAGGGGAGGCCCTACTGCTATTTCATTTAGATACATATTGTGCCACTGTATTTACAGAAAGTAATATTAGTTGTACTTGTTTACAGTCAGTATTTTACTGATAATGCTAATAAAGTATATAAATATGAAAGTAATTTCACAACTTCTGTAGTCTTTGTCAGCTGTTTCTCTTTGTTTAATACATGAAATTTAAAAGCCATACCAAATAACTCTACAGATCATAATTTCAAGTGATACAAGACAGTAAATTGCAAAAATAGATAGCATATGGTTATGTTGAATAATAACTATTAGTGTTGATGTTATTTGACAGAATAGGATTGGTATTCCCCATGCACAATCATATTGTGTGGATTATTCACACATTAATTTTTAATGAATATTTATCTATATATCATCAAGGATTTCAACATCTTAATAAAAGTGGGAATCATCAAAGACCTGAACATTCCCTAAAAAAATTATATTTACCAAAAAAAGAGACTAAATGGCAGAACAATTTTGCACCTCAGGACTGCTAACACATGCTAATTTAAGCTATTACCCTGTGAATACTCTATACTAGTTTCAGTGTGTTTTCAATTTTCTAGTTTCCTGTGTTTCAAAAGAACGAAAGTTTTATTATGGGGATTCCAAAATTGCACAACATAATGCAGTTTGAAAGCTGACTTAAAGAAAAAAAGAATCTAAGTACAATGGCTTTATAAAACTTCAAATGATTATATCTAAGAAAATGCAAAATTGCCGTATATTAGAGTTCTCTGGTCAATTTGATATTTTGGTAATTCTTAAGAGTTAAAAAGGTACATCAAAAGGTAGATATGAGGGCCTCCCTGGTGGCACAAAGGGTTAAGCACCGCATTATGATGTAATCAGCAGCCTCTGCAGCAGAAATTCCATCCCCAGCCAGCAAGGGAGAAACCCACTTGGTGAGGCAGACCTCTCCTGTCTCGCCCACTGCTCCCCTAGGCAGTGTATTTCAGTCTGCTTGTTCTGTTCCCCACTCTGTCTCTGGTGGACCCTCTCACCACGCGCATCTCTGGCCTGTACCCCAGCTCTTGTATGCATAAATAAATAAATCTTTAAAAAAAAAAAAAGGTAGATGTGAGAAACAGAAATGCCATAATCCACATGGGAAAAGGCTGAATTTTTAACAAGGATTGTACAACTGGGCTTGGTTGAGGCTCTTGGGAGTCCTGAGTTTCATCACACTTCCACTCTTCTTTGTTCCTTCCATTCCTTATTACATGCAACATCCCACCTGGAAATATGTTCTCCAACATAAAGCCAAATATTTTATTCTTTCTCAGACCCTAAGAGCTTTACCAGACAAAAAACAATTTGACAAAAAGGTCCATGAAGACAAGGGCTGTGTATGTTTTGTACTCTCCTGAATCCTCAGCATCCAGTATTATGTCGGGCACTTAATTAATACTATTATTCATTTGCTTACAGATTGACTGAATGAAGTAAAGACTTTTCTCAATATTTTGATCTACTTATAATTTATTTTTTTCCTTTATTAATCTATAGGAATACTTTGGCTACTCTAATGTTTGCAAATTGGAAATATATTTTTGGCTTATTATTCAAAATAGATCATTAACACTTAATGAAGAGAGAAGGTTAAGAGCTAATGACCAAATTTAGATGATAAATGCAAACCAGTAAGAGCTGAGTGCACAATGGGTTTTCACTTAAACTATCTGGTGACAAACATATAGTATAGGCAGTATTTTCAAGAAAAAATAGATCAAGTTGACTTTGGCAAGAATAAAAACCCAACTATAGACAGGCAAATAAGAACAATTCCACTGTTAAATGTGCAGTACTTATTTTTATATAAGAAACCCCAAAACTTCCTCCCACCAGCGTTATTAGTCTCCTGAACGCTTTCTGCCTGTCTTGGAAGTCTTATTGTCAATAGCAGAATTCTAAGACTTTTTGCTCTCAGGACTCCTTTACACTATTTTTTTTCTTTATTGAGGCAACACTAGTTTATAACAGCATAGTGGATTAGGCTCACATCTTCTCTGATGGATTTCACACTTTTGAAAATTACTGAAGTTCTCTAGTTTTTGTTTAAATGTACTATATTTGCCATATTTAAAAATAAAACTGATAAAATCAATGTATACTTATTGATTCCTTTTTTTTTAATGGTTTCTTTTTTTTAAGATTTATTTATTTATTTATACAAGCACTGGGTACAGTCAGAAGCACGGAAAGGTGAGAGAATTCACCAGAGCCAGAGTGGGGAACAGAACAGGCAGACTGACAAAGTACACTGCTGAGGGGAGCAGCGGGCAGCAGGAGAGGTTTGCGTGCCATGTGGGACCCTCGCCAGCAGCCGGGGATCGAACCGGTGCTGCAGAGGCTGCGGGCGGCTTCGCAACCCAGTGCTCAACCACTGCGCCACCAGGGGAGGCCCTACTTATTGATTCATTTTAAAGTAACAATAAACCCAGTATATTCTTTCTGAAAAATCACATATCCCCCCAAAATCTAGTGAAGGCAATGTTTTACACTTTTGCACATCTGTTTGATGGCTGAATTGAATAACAATATCATAAGCATTTACATTTGACATGTTGTTTTATTTATATTTTTAGAAAGATTTATTAATTTATGCATACAAGAGCTGGGATATAGGCCAGAGGTATGGGGCTGGGGGAGGTGAGAGGATTCAACAGAGACAGAGTATAAGCAGAACAGGGGAATCTACTCAATTGCATGCTGAGGAGAGCAACAGGTGAGACAGGAGAGGTCAGCTGCATCATGTGGGTAGCTCCCTGGCTGGAGATTGAACTCACACTGCAGTGGCTGCAGATATCTTCATAGTACTGAGAATTAACTCCTTGCACCACCAGGGAGGCCCTGACATGTTACTTTAATTGAAATATATGAAGAAAATCCTGCCTCACATGGATAGAGAATTGAAGAAAGGATGACTTTGTGGATCACCACAGTGGACCTCAGGACCCCCACTTTGAAAAAAAATATTACATTTTGTAATATATGTCACAATGTACTGTTTAATTACTCTACCAAATTAATGAAAGTTTAGAGAATAATAAGTTCCCTGAGCATTCCTACATATATCCAAACTTACAAATGATTTGCATATTCATTTTGTCTTCAACTGCTACTACTCTTTATAAATGCACATTGTCTTTGTGTTAATTAAATGTTAAATTGAAATGTAGATTGAAGGAGGATAGTTTGATATAAAGAGGAATAAACAATGAGAAGAAAGCTGTATAATTTGAAAATTTAGTAAAAGTTGAAGAAAAAGAGACATTTTACTTGAAAAAAGATCAAGCATAACCAAACCAAGACACTAATTGGAATGATATATGGGTCTCTTTAAGGCAGTAAATTGGACTGAAACACTTTAGTGAACACAAGTTGGATTCTAATACTTTTAGTATCCTACACGTCATTTCTAATTAATCTGTAAAAACCACAAGAGAAACAATTTATCTATAGTTTTAGTATTTCTGCTTTAAATATTAATAGGAATTAACCAAATACCAAAGAAAATATCTCACAATTTCAAAGTTATTGTTTTTTTCTCTTAAAAATAGCTTTACGTAAATTCAAAAATAAAAATTTAAAGCTATATATTAGATTTTTGAAATGTTATGCCACTGCTTTGCAAAGAATAAAATTACTTACTTTTCCTTTTCTTGAAGTTGATGTTCCTGAGAAGCCATTTTTGGTTCTGTCCCAAAATTTTTTTGCATCCGCTGCCTCCTCTTTCTACTTGGTGCAATATCAGTGACATCAGGACTTGAAAAAATAGAATCATCTCTTCTTAAAGTAGCTAAAATAAAGTGACATAAAAATGTAACCTGATAAAATTACACATGTAATTTTTAAGTAAAGAACTTGCTGCTTTAGCAACCATATAAAGTAACAAAATTAAAATATAACAAACCTTAAAAAATTATGTGGATTTGGTGAACATAACCAAAGTTAGTGTGTAATACTTTTATATCAATATAAGATAAAGGGAATCATAAACACAGAATGATTTGATCAAAATGGTCTTTGTCTTTCTTGGGCAACAACCTTCCCTTTATGCTTTATAAGTAAAATTCGATGTTGCAGTACTAGAAATAGAAATCAGTACCTTAGAATCACTTCTAAAATCACCTCTAAATCACCTAGAAAAAATAATAATGCTGAAGAATTATTACTAGCATTATTTTACTTAATGAAGAAAACAAGGCTTCTGAGAGGCTAAGTAACTTTCCCAAATCACACAGCCTCTGGCTTTATATTTTATTATTTTGAAAATTAAAAAATATTTCTCCTCAATGGGAAAATTATTCCTTATTCAAGTGTTAGTTAAATATCCTCAAAGTGTATTTTACTTTCAAAACTGTTTATGTTACAAAGACACATAAGTACCACTGGATTTCTTGTACATTTTTTTTTTATTAACTCCTAACAAAGTATTGGGAATAGAGAAGGGTGTTTCTCCAAAGGTGTTCAAGATGAAGGATTTGCCATTTTCATTATTTAAGGAAGATACTTCTAGTTTTCTGATTTGTTACAAACTGAGATCTCACCTAAGTTTACTCAATCACATAAGCAATCAACAAAGAACATGCTTGTTTAAGAACAAAACTAACAAAAGTGTCAGAGTTAAAGGACATGTAAATAAACTTAAATGGTAGCTAGCCTTGTAAAGTGGTGAAAGACTGCATTTAATAATATGCTGGATATCTATGAAGAAATATAATTGAATCTAAATGAAAATATAAGATAAAAATTTTAAAATATAGTAAACAAAAAGTTCTACTATTTCTCTCACCACTCCTAATAATGGCATACACATTGGCACACACAAATATATTTTATTTATTTATTTGAGGGAACATCAGCTAACAATACTGTATATAATATAGGGGTATATAGGTTAAAATGTCTTCAGTCAAGTGTTACCAACAAGGCACACTTAACCCTTCACCATATTTCATTGAGCCCCACTGTCTTTGGTCTCCACAATTTTAAGTCAGATTTCTATGGATTGTTTTATTTTTTATTTTATTTTATTTTGTTTTTTTAATATTTTATTTTATATAATTCTTACATCATTTTTCATCTTTGTACAATGTATCCATTTTCATTTTGGTTATATTCCCCACACAATTGCACCTCCCCCCTTATTTTGACTCTAGTTCTTCCTCTCCCCACTCCTCCCTAATCATCCCCCATCTCCCCGTAGTGTGGCTCTGGTTTATAGTTGCTTGTTGATTTTGATTTTTACTTTGCATTGATTAGTCTTTTTCCTGGTCTCTTATTTAGGTTTTCTAAATTCCTGCTATGAGTGAGACCATCTGGTATTTTTCTTTTTCTTTCTGACTTATTTCGCTGAGCATGATCATTTCTAGCTCCATTCATATTGCTGCAAATTACATGTGTTTATCTTCTTTGATTGCTGAGTAATATTCCATTGTGTATATGTACCACATCTTCTTGATCCAGTCATCTATTTTTGGGCATTTGGGTTGTTTCCATATCTTAGCTATTGTAAATAATGCTGCTATAAACATAGGGGTGTAGGTGCCCTTTGGAATTACTGTTTCTGTGTCATTTGGGTAAATATGTAGGAGTGGAATTGCTGGATCATATGGAAGCTCTATGTTTAGTAGGTCAAGGAAGCTCCACACAGCTCTCCACAGTGGTTGGACCAGTTTGCTCTCCCACCAGCAGTGCAGGAGAGTACCTTTTTCCCCACAACCTCGACAACATTTGTTGCTGCTAGTTTTTTAAATATGTGCCATTCTCACTGGTGTAAGATGGTATCTCATTGTAGTTTTGATTTGCATTTCCCTGATTACAAGTTATGGTGAACATTTTTTCATATGCCTGTTGGCCATTTGCATTTCCTCTTCAGAGAAGTTTCTTTTTAGCTCTTCTGCCCATTTTTTGACTGGTTTATTTTCTTTGTTTTTGTTAAGTCTCCAGCTCTTTGTAGATTTTTGTGATCAGTCCTTCATCATTAGTGTTGTGTGCAAAATGTTCTCCCAGTTGGTGGGGATTCTCTTTGTTTTTTGTTATTGTCTCTTTTGCTGTGCAGAAGCTCTTTCTTTCCTTTTTTTTTTAAGATTTATTTATTTATTTATACAAGCACTGGGTACAATCAGAAGCACGGGAGGGTGAGAGAATTCACCAGAGCCAGAGTGGGGAGCAGTGCAGGCAGAAGGACCAAAGTACACTACTGAGGGGAGCAGCGGGCTGCAGGAGAGGTCTGCGTGCCATGTGGGACCCTCCTCCGGTGGCCGGGGAGCAGCCGGGGATCAAACTAGCACTGCAGAGGCTGCGGGCAGCTTCGCAACCCAGCGTTCAACCACTGCGCCACCAGGGAGGCCCAGAAGCTCTTTAATTTGATGTATTCCCAGCTGTTTATCTTTGCCTTCACTATCACTGCTTTGGGTGATGTGCCTGTAAAGATGTCTTTGATGTGCATGTCATGTAGTGTTTTACCTATATTTCCTTCTATGTATTTTATGGTTTCAGGTCTTAGGTCTAGTTCTTTAATCCATTTTGAGTTGGTTTTTGTGCATGGTGTGAGGTAGTAGTCAAGCTTCATTCTTTTGCGTGTAGCGACCCAGTTTTCCCAGCACCATTTATTGAACAAACTTTCTTTGCTCCACTGCATATTCTTTGCTCCTTTGTCAAAGATTAGTTGACCATAAATCTGTGGGTTTATTTCTGGATTTTCTATTCAATTCCATTGGTCTGTGTGTCTGTTCTTATTCCAATACCAGACAGTTTTGATGATTATGGCTTTGTAGTATAGTTTGAAGTCTGGGAGTGTGTTGCCTCCATTCCCTTCTTTTTTTTTTTTCAGGAGAGCTTTGGCTATTCGGGGTTTTTGGTGGCTCCATATGAATTTCATCAATAATTGTTCTATTTCTTTGAAGAATGTCATTGAAATTTTTATTGGAATAGCATTGAATCTGTATATTGCTTTTGGTAGGACGGCCATTTTAATAATGTTTATTCTTCCAATCCATGAGCAGGGGATGTCTTTCCATTTCTTTGTGTCTTCTTCTATTTCTTTTAACAGTGTTTTATAATTTTCTTTGTATAGGTCCTTTACCTCCTTTGTTAGATTTATTCCCAAGTATTTGATTTTTTTGTTTCAATAATAAAAGGTATGGTATGGGATGCAGCAAAAGCAGTAATAAGAGGAAAATATATAGCAATAGAGGCTCACATCAAGAAACAGGAAAGAATTCAAAGAAACAACCTAATCTCAAAGCTCAAAGAACTAGAAAAAGAACAACAAAAAACCCCAAAACCAGTAGAAGAAAAGAAATAATAAAAACTAAAGCAGAAAAATGAAATAGAAATTAAAAAAAAATACGAAAGATCAATGAAACCAAAAGCTGGTTCTTTGAAAAAATAAATAAAATAGACAAACCGGTAGCCAGGCTCACAAAGGAAAAACGGGAGAAAGCACAAATAAACAGGATCACAAATGAAAGAGGAGAAATCACAATGGACACAGCAGAAATTAAAAGAATAATCAGAAACTACTATGAACAGCTATATAGAAACAAGTTCAACAATCTAGAGGAGATGGACAAATTCCTACAACTCTACAATCACCCAAAGCTAGATAAAGAAGAAATAGAACACCTAAACAGACCAATTACAATCAGCGAAATTGAAGTGGTAATCAAAAACCTCCCCAAAAACAAAAGCCCAGGACCTGATGGATTTACAAATGAATTCTACCAAATATTCAGAAACGAATTAGTGCCTATCTTTCACAAACTCTTCCAAAAAATTGAGAAGGAAGGGATAATACCAAGCACGTTCTATGAAGCCAACATTACACGAATACCAAAACCAAAGGAGGACAACACAAAAAAAGAAAACTACAGGCCAATCTCTCTAATGAACACAGATGCAAAAATCCTCAATAAAATTTTAGCTATCAGAATCCAACAATGTATCCATAAGATAATTCACCACGACCAAGTAGGGTTCATTCCAGGGACACAAGGATGGTTCAACATCCAAAAATAAATCAAAGTTACCCAACACATCAACACAAAGAAATATAAAAACCATATGATAATATCAATAGATGCTGAGAAAGCTTTTGACAAAGTACAACACCCATCCATGATAAAAGCCCTTGAAATTCTTGGGATACAAGGAACAAACCTCAACATCATAAAGGCCATCTATGACAAGCCAACAGCCAGCATCATTATCAATGGCAAAAAGCTGAAAGCATTTCCATTAAGATCTGGAACAAGACAAGGATGTTCACTCTCACCACTGCTTTTCAATATAATACTGGAAGTCCTAGCCAGTGCAATAAGACAAGAGAAAGACAGACAAGGAATCCAAATAGGAAAAGAAGAAATCAAACTATCACTGTTTGCAGATGATATGATAATATACATAGAGAAACCCGAAAACTCCACAGAAAAACTAAATCAACTAATCAATCAGTTTAGTAAAGTGGCAGGATACAAAATCAACACGCAAAAATCAGTAGCCTTCTTATACACAAACAATAAATCCGAAGAAGAAATCAAAAAATCTATGGATTGTTTTTGGTTTGATTTTGTCTGAATCATGTTTCTCTATATCCCACATGTGAGTGAAGCCATTATTATTTACTTTTCTCTGAATTATTTCACTTAGCATAATGCCCTCCAGTTTGAACCACATTTTCACAAATAGCAAGAGTTCATCTTTTTTGATAAGTGTGTAGTTTTCCATTACGTATATACTACATCTTCTTAATCCACCAATTTGTCTTTAGGCACTTAGGTTGTTTCCACAGAT